TTTTGTGCTATTTTTTAATTTTTCAAATCAATCAATAAAAAAAAAATAATTTCTAAAATCTAAAACTGACAAATTTTTAACACTTGTTTGCAGTTTCTTTATTTTTCACAACAATTTTTTTTTTAATAAATTTTGCCAACATGCTAACGTGGTAACAATTTTCAAATTTTTGAAACCCTGAACCAAAAACTTGAAATATCTACACAACTACAAAATGCACATAAATGATTTTAACATATTTTTTAATTTTCAGACCATTTTCTATCAGAAAACACTTTTCATACGCTTTTAAAACAATTTTGGTTTTATAAAAGTGTCCAAAACGCAAATTTTTGTTACCCAAAATCCAAGAATTTTACCATATTTTTGAAACTATGAGTCGTAGCTAAATAATTTTTTCTGATTCATATTTCCTGGTTGATTCTACATAAGAAAAGTGGTTTTAGTCAATTTCAAAAAAAACTACTTTTTTCTTTTTGAAATTTTTATTGTTTGTCAAAAAATGTCCATAACTCGGAAACTATTCATCGTAGAAAAAAACCAAAAATAGATTTAGAATCCTGAGACAATTCCACAAACGAAAATCCTAATTTAAAAACTTGAAAAAAATTCAAAGTCGTGAAAATCCCACATTGAGTAAAACTCTCACGACCATGTGTTAAAAATCGTAAACAAACACCAGAAACCCACTCAGGGTTAAAAGCCCGCCGTAATAAACCTATTAGCATATGTGAGTCGATAATAAAGCCGTTTCCATCAACTGTGAAAAACAAAGTGAAAGATTTCTATTTTTTTTCAAACCTTTGAGTGACATGAGATTAGATAAAACACAATATTTGTAAAACTAACGAAATTTCAGCTTTATTTACTTGATTGCAACAAAGTCAAACATTGTGTAATTTCAGTCCTAATTAACCACACAAAGAAATTTCTTTTCTTTTTTTTTTTTCTTTAATAACATAACAAAGAACTCGAATGTTTGGGCATTTCTCAATTAGACACGTGTTAATCAGGCAATAAAAACACCACTTTGGTCCAGATATTGCCTTCTAGTGGGCATAATAAAACAAAAAAGAATCGAGTTGTGTAAGTTTGAGTTTCCTTTGTCTGAAGCACACGACAAACCGGTTTGTGAGGCTTGAAAGTGGAGGAGCGAAATCGAGAAAGACTGTCACGTAATGACGCTGAACTAAACATATAAAATTCGAATTTACATAACGAGGTAATGGCTTTGTTTGGGGCTAGGGGGGCGGTGAGGGGGCCAAGAGTGTTCGAATTTTAAAGATTTATCTGTTTTGAGCGGTTTTGGGGCCTTGAAAGTCTTCAGAAATAACAATAGTGAACGTTATTGGCGATTTTTAGTGAGAAACTAACAAAAAATGAAGAGTTTTAAACTAAAATAATTATTAATTTGTTTTTTGGGTAGGCAACTAACAATACGCGAAAAAAATAGTTGAAAAACTTATTTTTTGCTTTAATTATTTTAAGTCATTATGCTTATTAGCTTTTACAAGTAATGCGAATTATTTTAATTACAAAAAAACTA